ATATTTATTTTTTAGTTCTCGGCGGACACAACATCTTTGTTGGTATGTGGTGCTGAGGATCGAACCCGGGCCGCACGCATGCCAGGCGAGCCACATCCCCAGCCCCCTGGTTTTGGTCTCTTCAAGACTGTTACTTCTTTGAAGACTAAACTCCAGCTGCTTGCTCTCAGCACCCTTCTACCCATCGCCTATAATCCAGGAGGGACAGTCTGCTTTCCTACTGCTCCATGTGGCCCAGTCTGAAAGCCACCTCGACCTCCAGGCTCCTCAAAGTCTCATGGCTAGCATCTCTCTGCACCTCCCTGTGAGAGCTGCTGCCAAAGGCAAGGCTCAGGCCCCTTAACTAAAAGAGTCCCTGAGCCCCCACTTGGCCTCTCCATCCTCCAGGGCTGGGGTGCCCCAGGGGCCAGGCTCATTGCTGTTTCCATGGGGATGTGTGCACTCTGACCCCAGCCTTTCTCCATCCCAGGCCAAATAAAGAGGGCTTCCAAGTGGAAACCAGCAGCTCAGGCTGCCCCTCCTCCAGTGCCCCAGGTGGCCCTTCCTCCAAAGAGGGGAGGGGAAGCCCAGAACCCAGGAAAGCTGCAGGAGAAAGGGCTGGAGGGGCCTCCCAGCCCCACCTTCTTACCAGCCCCTTCCCAACCCTGACCACTCCACTCTGCAGGTTGTAAGCATGCCTCTCCCCAGGGCTGAGACCACTGGGTCTCCTGGAACCACCCTCAGGTGCAGCAGCTGCAGCAGCCAGTGAGTAGCTCTGCAAGGCCCCCCTGGACCAGGGATCCCACTGGGCAAAAGAGAGGTAACTTGAGACTGAAATTGGCTGAGAAGTCCTCTCTCCACCCTACCCAAGTCCCAGCTGAGAGACCTGAGGTACCTGTCACCAAGGTTTAGTACTAGGGTGGGGCTGCACCCATCTCTCCTACAAAGCTGCTGCTTAAAAAAAAAAAAAAAAAAAAAAAAAAAAAAAAAAAAAAAAAAAAAACTTTAGTTGTTAATGGGCCTTTATTTATTTTTCATTTATATGCAGTACTGAGAATCAAACCCAGTACCTCACACATGCTAGGCAAACACTCTACCACTGAGCCATAACCCCAACCCCCAGGGCTGATTCTATTTATTTATTTGGTACTGGAGATTGAACTCAGGGGCACTCAACCCCTGAGCCACATCCCCAACCCTATCTTGTATTTTTTATTTAGGGACAGGGTCTCACTAAGCTGCTTAGCACCTTGCTTTTTGCTGAGACTGGCTTTGAACTTGGGATCCTCCTGCCTCAGCCTCCTGAGCTGCTGGGATTACAGGCGGGTGCCACGACAACCTCCCCCCAAGACTGCTGCTTGAAGAAGCTGCCCAAGCTAGCAGAACCCCAGATTTGGGAAGCCAACTCTCCACAGGGTGTTTTCCCTTGGATCAAGCTGAGTTTCTCTCTCCTCCGTGTGGTAGGATCTCTTATCTGAGATGTTACTTTCTCCAGATCTTTCCTGACGCCTTCCCAGGCTTCCAGAGGTGGTTCCCCCTGGTACTGGTGTCTCAGGGCCACCAAATAAAGTTACTCTTTGAGAGTTCTAGGCTAAATGCCCCAAATCAAGGTGTTGTCGAGGCTCTGGCAGAGGATCCTTGCCTCTTCCCAGGTTCTGGCGGTCGCCTGCTTTCCTTTTTCCTTGGCTTGTGTCATTATCCCTCATCCCCTTCACCCCCACCCCCACATTGTCCTGTGTGTCTCTGCCTGTTTCTGTTTTTTCTTCTTAGGAGGACTGCTGTCCCATTGGCATAGAGCCCACTCTAATGACCTCATCTCAACTCCATGACATCTGGTAAGACCCTATTTCCAAATAAGGTCAGATTCACAGGTACCACAGATAGGACCTGAACATATCTTTTTGGAGGAAGACACCGTTCAGCTCCTTGGTTGGTTGTTTGTAAAACGCTACCAGTAACAGCGCAGCGTCGGGCTTCCCGGATTGGTGGGAGGAAGCCTGTTGTCCGGTAGGAGCGGTTCCCCAAGGGCGCAGGCTTTCGCCCGCCAGTCGTCCCCACTGGAGGGCAGGCCGCACACGGCAGCGTGCGCTCGTCCTTCCAGAAGGAGCCCAGCCGG